GTTGAAAGATAATATGTTTGGGTTTTTCAAGTTTTACACCGAACAAAATTAGGGTGTTTGTGTGAGGCCTCCCAAACAGGTGCTGGTGAGGCTTCTTGGTCTTTTACTATATCTGTGTGTACGATCTTGCCATGGACTAATGGTTCTTGTTTCTTCCTTCGTCCTTTATCTATCACAGAATTGGGCCCACATTGGAGAAGCCATTTTGATCATCGATCATACTCATATAATCAAGTGTTTGGTTGCTAGTGTCCAACCCATTGGACTTAAAAATATTTTGATCTCTAGGCGACAAACTTAACTAAAAGTTGGCATCAAAAGTACTCATGGTTGCTAAATCTAGGTCCCTTGCAAGGTAAAAGTGATGCATTGATCTTGGTCGCTGGGAATTTGCGCCAAATCACTAGATTCCACATTGAAAGCTTAGCAAACGTTCTTTCTACACAAGACATTGTTTAGGGAGTGATTTGTTGCCTTCATAAAAGCACCTTCTGGTATAATAAGGCCACAAGTTGGGTTGTTTGACTTGAAGAATTTCAACTACATTAGGCTTGGGTTAGGATTTGGCGCCATTGAAAATTTAACGTTTCTAATCCAACCTGATCCAAGTTGCACCTCTAATAATCTTATGATTTATGATGTGTCAAACACATTAATAACACAGATGACAACAACCAATGTTATCAAACCCGACTTGGAGGTAAAACCATTATGGTCACTGGGTCATAGGTTAAATAGTTCAATCATTTGACTCAGTTTTAACTTTCAAGACAAATAAGAAATATAAAATCATTCTAAATTACCTTTAAAAGCTATCTTAAATGTATTTTGTGATACATTTGACTAAGTCAGCATTTGTAAGAATTGGGCAATCAAGGAGATGTTTGGGACCGATGCTTATTCTTTTGACAAAATTTCTCAAAAATTATTAATTTTTAGAAATCAATTATGAATTTGTTTGGTAGTGATTATCAATAATGATTTTTGTGTTTATAAGAACTATCTCCCCTATCCATGTTAGATGCCACATCATCCAAAAATAATTGACATTTTCCTAAAAAGAGGAATCGTTTTCTGATTTGTCTTTTCAATCCAATTGATCCTAAATTAATACCATTTTGATTATAGATTTGAAGATTTCGGGTTCGAATAGTCAAATTGTTCAACCCATTCTGAATTTGACAATACTGATATTTATGAAGATGTAGAGAAAGAAGAAATTCTAAATACTGAATTATGTTGATTGGTATTGCCTACCAAACAAGACCAGCATGGTTGATAGGTTTAAAGCTTTGCATACCCAGAGTTGCAAACCCACGTGATGTGCAACTTCAGAAAGTGTTAACTCTGTGTTGATTGATGACAAATGTGGATGCAAAGATTCCAGCTAGAACTACCTAATTAGTGTTCATCTTTTGCTCCTTGATTTGTGCCTATCCTCAATTCCTATTTCCTAACCCAAAGCCATATCCATTTGCACTCCTTCAAGATTCAATTGTCCAAAACAACACGCCAATTAAGGCCTCATTTGGATTGTCAATCCATTCCATGAACTCTTTAAGCTTTGGTGAAGGGTCGCTTGTATATTTGAAACATTAACAAACAACCCAGTTTAGAGCTTAAGCAACTCTTGGTTTTTCTTCGTCCTCCATACAAGGTGGGATCCATGAAAAGACATTTCCAATCTTGTCAATGTCCTTTCAAGGATTTTATGCTGTCTATGTAAATACAAGGGAGAATATAAGAGCTTACTAGCATTACTTGTAAATCGTTTGTTGCATCGCTTTCATGGGCTTAATCACCGGTGGATTAACCGGATACCCGTTTTGTTTTAGAGTTGAGAGGGACCCAATTAACCAGAGGAACAAGATTTCTTGTAATAATTCCGTAATTGTTTGTTTTGAGCGTAAAGTACGTTCTCGGTGGTCCAAAGTCTTACCTCGCCTAAATGTCATTTTTTGACTACGACCAAACATGCCCCTAAGCACCTGAACCCGACTAATTTGGCTAATCTGTAATTCCTGATAATACGTTCGGATACGAGATGAAGGTTCTAATAATAACTTCTACTTCTACAAACCCATCCCATATGTCCGCATCTGGACCCACGTCCCTAAACTTGTCCTCTTACGCCATCAATACCGTTGGATTTTCCCTATGATTTACATCTCGAAATCAACGGACACGACCCTAGGACTACGGAGCTGAAATGAAGCGCGCGGAATGGAAAATCGATGGCTGAAGATGGCTGAGCATTCGAATCGGTGTTTGCACAGCGGTGGATCTGTACACGTCGGTCGACACGCGGAATACGTGAAGGCAGGGGGACCCAGCACGCACGCGTCCAGGAAACACGGGATGTGGGACCCACACTCGTGCGTATTATGCAGAGAGGAGCCAGAGAGAGAGAGAAACCATGTTGGTAGGATGTAATAAGTACAGAATGATTAAAAAAATGAAAAAAATGATTAAAAAACTGAGCGAGTGCTGTCACCATCACATGGAGCAGGAGGCTGGGTCCACAGCCGCCGACATGAGATGCCACGTCAGACCATAATTATTAGACCCACTACGACGCATTAAAATATAATTAATTTTTTAATTACGGTTTTAACCTTAAACCAGACTGAACGCTTGTCCGTACGACGCCCGCATGTGATGCACGCCCAGGCTCTCGGTCTCAACAAAAGGAAAGAGCTTTGCTTTGAGCCCCCCGATTAATTGTTCTGACTAAATTACCCCCAGAACAGAGATGAATTAACGGCTTTTGGATTTCGGAAAGGAGGTTGATGGGTTTTTACCTGGGGTAGTTTTGTGACTTTGGTCCAATATTTCGTGTGTGTGTGTGTTGGAAAGGAACCTCGTTTATTTACAGTGTGCGTTTCTGTGTGTGATGGAGAAGTGTGGAAAAGGAGAGCAGCTTTTGTCCTTGCAGTAATTATAAAAATTATTGCGAATTATGGATGGCCCAAATTGCACTCCTTTCTTTGTCAGACCACCTTTATAGGGTAAAGAACTTGAAGGGCAAAGTTGTAACTTTAGTATTTGATTTTCAAGAGTTTCTTTATTAAGTTATTCTTTATTTAAGCTTTTAAATTACAAAATTAGCCCTACGGCTTCGAGGAAATTACAAACATAATCTGATATTTTATTTTGTATTTGGTAATTTGGTATGAGGAAAATTCAAATTCCAATAATAAATTGAACAATATTGGTGTTATTTGGCCAATTTTAATAAAGTTACTTTTTTGCTTGTTTCTTTTTTGAACGAAGTTGGGTGCAGTGTCTCTGACCAATGTTGAATTTTGTGGAGGCAAAACTCTAAAGGAGGCTTATTTTCTGTGATGTGTCTCAATCGTTTTTTTTCATGAGACATCTATTGTCCGGGAATCTAATAATGCCCTACGAGTCCTACAGTTTATTCTCTCTCTGTTTTTTTTTTTTTTCTCTTTTCCTGTTGATAAATGAAACTTATCAAACAAACAAGGGAATATGTCCGAAATTAGGGGTGTCAATGGTATTCGAAAATCTGATTTCGAATTTAATATTTGATATAGTCGAATTGAATTTGGATAATTCAAATATATAATCGGTTGAATTTGGATATCCTATTCTTACCAAATAGTTAATCGGATAATTCAAATATTTACTTTTATATTTATTAATTATCTAAAATAATTAATAAATTAAATTCGAATTGAATATTCGAATATTTAAGCGAATTTGAATTCGGATATTAATTTTCAATATCCGTTGAAAATCGAATCGAATTCGAATATCAGATTTTCTAATTAGATTTGAATTTGGATATTGCCTGATCCGATGCGATTTCGATCCGTTTACACCCCTACCCAAAATACTATGATTGGATTTTCCACATTTGTGGTTGATAAATTCCTCAACATTCTATTTCCTCATTTCTAATTTTTCTCAAATGAACAGGACATATTGGTGATCACTTTTTTTACCGGATGATGGATGGTTTTATGTTGAGACAAATTAAAAAGAATGTACTTCATTGAAATATTGATACTTGATTTTTTTCTCAAAAAAATTATCAACAAGAACAGAAAATATAGCTAAAAAATAAAATTTATTAACAATATTAAAAGACGATATATTTTATCTTGTAAGTGGGTGTTTGGTACAATAACATTGCATTGCCATTTTTATTTTGGATTGACCGATACAAATTTGAATTTGTGCGAAATATGTGTTGCCACATCATACATGAATGCCATTTCAACTAGAAAAATGAGTGTGGATGAGAAATATCAAAACTGACATTTTAGTTAATTGACTAAAAATAATTTTAAAAACATTTTTAATATAAAACAAATTCTCGCTCACCGAAATTGTTTTAATCAACCCAAATGCAACAGATAAATGGTATTTTATTATATAGTATCTGAAAACCATATAAACTTGATCTTAATCAAATAGATTCATTTTGATCCCAAGAATATTAATAGCATTGAATTCTGATCTGGGTATATCAAATATGAAACCAACTTGTTTTTGGCAGTCTCATCAGTATAATTAATAAAGGCGTAAATGAATAATTAATTTATATTCAGATTCTTTAAAAAAACCTGAATACATGAATTAACTAACCATGATCCAAATGATGTAAATTGATTAATTCATTCATAAGTAGAGATCGAAATTCAAAAATCAAGACCCAGTTGGGGGTTAAGCTTCCTTCAAAAGCCCACTGCCTCGGTGAGGGGTGGAATGATAGAAGGAAGACCCAGAAAACAAAAATGGCTGGAAGCGTTTGGAGGGTCTCAACTCTCAAGACTCAAAACTCAAAAGGTGATTGGAGTTGAGGATGAGGACAGTTGGTCAAACAATGGTCAACAGGCTTTATCCCTTTTCTGGGGACCGTTTAGTAGAGAGGGGTAAATTGGGAATGTAGGGGGAGGTAAATTCTGAAGATTAACCGTGTGTGGTTAATGGAATTACAATTACTAGGCTTCTTTAATTTGGAAAGTTGGACCAAAGACGTGAGAGAGAGAGAGAGAGAGAGAGAGAGGTTGATGAGTAGTATAGTATGTAGAGAGAAGTGTTGAGCGTGGTTGTCTGAATAGGGGTGAAAAAAAGGGGGATTGTCTGTGTGATGTAGGGCGAGTCAGGGGGCAGAGCTGAGGCATTTGGTCTGCGAAGAACTTAGCAAGCCCTCCTTTTTTTAAGCTTCTCCGGTCTTTCCCTTGTCGGCGACTTTTCCGGCGATTCTCGCCACCCTCTCCGCCTCTCGTTGTCCACCACCACTTTCTTCCTTCTCCCTTTCTTCTTCCGCTTATCCGGCGGTCACGCCGGAAAAACTACACATCGTAGTTGCTGACCTTGTTCTTCAGCTTCTGAGAGAACAGAGAACTTTTTTTTTTTTTTGCGTCCATCTCTATCTGATTCTTCTGCTTTCATTTATTCGGTGGAGATATTGATTCTTGCTTTTCGTTGTAACCTGAGCCTTTTGTTGTGTTTGACCGGACATCTGTTGACGCTTGTTATTGATTCGAAGGGAGCTGAGCTGAGGAACCTGGAAGGTCTTCATCTCTGGATTTTTCTCATTTTCTTTTTATCTGTCTTTGTATTCGGATTCCGTGTCAGCTGAGAAAAGCCACTTTGAGTTATTTCGAGTTTGGACTCTCGGTCGTTTCTTTTGAATAAGAGCAACTCCGGCGCCTAATCTGGATGAAATCGAAAACCGTTTCCGGCGGGTGAAATGACGAGTTGAAGCCTTTTTTTTCCTTTCCATAATTTCCGGCGAAGCGTGTGGGAGAAGTTGCCGGAAGCAGTAAAATGAAGGTGCCGGCAAACGGTGCAGCAGCGACGGCTAATGCCTGCGAAGGTTATTATTTTATAACATTTTTTGTTAATTTTGCAATTTCCCCATAAAATTCTCGTTTATATTTCGCGGTCTCTATTTCCGACATTTTCGAGACAAAAAGTAGCTGTTTTCTTCCAAGAATTCCAGTTCCATTGAAGTGGTGGCACGTGTCATTGCAGGAGAGAGAAAGAGCATCAACTCTGAGCTATGGCACGCGTGCGCCGGACCTCTGGTCACGTTGCCGCCGGTCGGGAGCTACGTCGTTTACTTTCCACAAGGTCACAGCGAACAGGTGCGTTAGGGCTTCTGCTACCGTGCGCCGTTGTGGTGTTGTCTGTTAACCTCCTCTCTAAAGTCTAAAATGGGATGGAACAAACAAGTACACTATCATGAACAATGTTGTGAAACAAAAACTGGGAAAAGTAATAAATGTGTTTGGAATTTGCTGCTCTGTGCTTTTGGTTTGGTGCCGAAAACCTCAACTGCTGTTGAAGCTTGTAAACCTCTCTTTCTGTAGAATTCAGAAAAGTACACAAACTACAAAATAATTGGAAATTTGGAAGGCTAGGGCCTTTGGATGTTGCTAATGTGCACTACAGTGGTGTTGCTGGTTAACTTTTTATCCCATGGAAAATTGCAGAAATATTTGAAGTATCTATTTGTCCTTTGCGAATATCCATATGATCCCCCCTTTCTGTCCACAATCTTTTTTGTTTTCCATCCTTCCCTTCTTTTTGACATTTCTAATGATATTATGTCGGTCCATAATTTTTCTTCTCTTTTAATAAATGTTTTCCATGATTTCTTCTATTTCAACTGCTGTGTCCAGTTTATTATCTTACTGGGGAAATGATAATACCATGATTCATCGGTTCATCTTTTTCCTAAATGTTAAAGGCTCTCTCATAGATGTGGTTACCCTGAAAAGATGAAGTCTAACTAGGGTTGTCGGAGAGCGTCTTTTGGTTTTTCCCCTGTTATCATATGGAAAAAATATGTCACTATTTATAAATTGTTAATGGTTTGAATTTGTATGAAAAACATTTCCTTTCTAGATATTGTACAATTGAAAACTTTAGCTTTTTACATAATGGATTTTTACCTTACATGCCCTGTTTGAAATTATAATAATCATTGATCATATGCAGCTTATTATCCTACTTGTTTCTGAGATTAAGGAAAAACAGGTAGAAATTATCTCTACTATTTGTTTCTATTTTCATACTGGTTGAATTAAAAGGAGGAAAAAATTTGTTTTTTCGGTCCCTGAAATATATGAAGATAGAACTCTAAGTCTGAAATTAAGGTGCCCAATGGAAAAATGAAATAAATTTCTTGTGGTTCTCCAGATACACCACAGGGTTAGCTTGGGTGTCACTATCGTTCAAAATAAATTCTTTATCGAATTTTTGTCAAGGCTGAATTTTCTTCAATGTAAAAGAGGTGGGAAAAAACTTTGGCTGTATAGGGGTAGAAATCAAACCGAAGTTTTACAAATGGAAAAATAAAAACAAATAGTGTTTTACTTTTTTAGCATCATTTCACTGGTATTTCATGGAAGGGTGTTTTTTTGTTGTTTTCTCAGGTTGCGGCATCCATGCAGAAGGATATAGACGCCCACATCCCAAATTACCCAAATCTTCCATCGAAGCTAATTTGTCTCCTACACAATGTTACATTGCATGTAGGGATTTGACCATTTCCCCCTCATTTCTTTCTTACAATCATCTTTTCTCTAGTCAATTGATGGCTATACAATTTTAAACACATTTAAGAACAATTCCATCTTTTTCTGTTTGGTTTTAAAGGCGGATGCAGAAACAGATGAAGTTTATGCTCAGATGACACTCCAGCCAGTTTCTACAGTAAGGATAATTTAATTTTTTTTCCTGATTTATCAAAAAAAAAGTTTTTTTCCTGATTTGATCCTCTCTTTCTGACATTTTCAAGTACATTATTATATGTAGTGTAGGTCTCACATTCTAATTAGAAGTTCTCGTCTGAAGTTGTGTTTTTGTCTGAATCCATCTACTTGTGCAGTATGACAAGGAAGCATTACTGCAGTCAGATCTTGCACTAAAATCAAATAGGCCTCAGACAGAGTTTTTCTGCAAAACATTGACTGCAAGTGACACAAGTACACATGGTGGATTCTCTGTGCCCCGCCGTGCAGCAGAGAAAATATTCCCTCCTCTTGTAGGCATTTTTCTACAACTAACGTATTTACTGCCTCATGTTTATGGTTTTCTTTGGCAGTATTAAGTCTTTTCTTTTGTTCTTCTGTATATAGGATTACTCACAGCAACCACCTGCTCAAGAACTGGTGGCCAGAGATTTGCATGACAATGTATGGACCTTCCGCCATATATATCGAGGTAAGCTGCTTTGAATCCATGAAAATTTTTGTTTTGGCAACTCACGGTGTCAATTCAGTTTGTATGTTTGCATGGAACTTGTATTTGTTTTGTCTAAAATTCTGTATGACAAATCCTGTTTATGTTCATTATTCAGGCCAACCCAAAAGGCACTTACTCACAACAGGTTGGAGCCTATTTGTCAGTGGAAAGAGGCTTTTTGCTGGAGATTCTGTCTTATTCATTAGGTAATAATGCCATCTCAATCAATAAAAAATGCACAAGTGCCTGTCATATGTATGTTTATCTTTTAGTTTTTAGATTGGTGACACTTTTTTGTCCTTGTTTTTGTTTTTGAGTCAGAAGTAGCTTTGCTAATTCCAGTAACCGTGTCTTTCCAGTTCAATACCTCACTTTTTAAGGGCCAGCTAATTTTGATGAGCCTTTTTCTCATGATTGTGAACAGAGATGAAAAACAGCAGCTTCTCTTGGGTATCAGACGAGCCAACAGGCAACCAACAAATATATCATCATCGGTTTTATCAAGTGATAGCATGCATATTGGCATACTTGCTGCAGCAGCTCATGCAGCCGCAAACCACAGCCCCTTTACTGTGTTCTATAATCCAAGGTATTTGTTTTTTTGTTTATTTTAGTCTTCGTTATTAATTTTGTTAAGTACCTTGTGCAAAAAAATGTTGAAGTTAAGACCTATTACCCCTCCGAAGACCCCAGATAGCTGGGAGTCTGGGACCATTATTGGGTAATGGCTTTTTAGTCTTCATTATTAATTTTAATTTCTCTTATCTAGCTTTGCCTTTCTGTGAGGGTCTTCATGAGTTCTGAAGTGAAGTAGGTTTGATTAATTTAATTTCATCTGGCTCTAAACTTAAATTATGAACACTGGGTAGTCTTTCTGAAACAACCCTTGTTTATGCAGGGCTAGTCCATCAGAATTTGTTATCCCTTTAGCCAAGTATTACAAGGCGGTATATGGTAACCAAATATCCCTTGGCATGCGGTTCCGTATGATGTTTGAAACTGAAGAGTCAGGGACTAGAAGGTTGTTATATGTGACTTTATCCTCTCAGTACTGAAATTACTGTGGTCTATTCAAAACTTGAAATTCTTCCACACGACAGGGGTTCTGAGTATTTATTTTGCAGGTATATGGGTACAATCACAGGCATTAGTGATCTAGATCCTATAAGGTGGAAAAACTCACAATGGCGCAACCTTCAGGTATAAAAATTTCCTTAAATGTGGAATCTAATTATTATAATCAATGCTACTATATTACATTTATCATTTTTATAACATGGATATTATCATCTTTTCTTTATCAATAGGTTGGCTGGGATGAGTCCACAGCTGGGGAAAGGCGTAATAGGGTCTCGATATGGGAGATAGAACCAGTGGCAGCTCCCTTTTTCATTTGTCCCCCACCTTTCTTCAGATCAAAGCGCCCGAGGCAACCAGGAATGCCAGGTTTGTTGTTTGCCTTTTTTCACATGACTAATGAATGCTATAGTTATGGTAATTCTTTTCCTTTTTATGAATTTAGGCATCAACTTTCTTTCTTGAAATGAAAAAAAGGGAAAAAAGAGAACTTTCTCCCAAGCCCTGCACTGAGGCAATCAACAGCTTCAATTGTGTCCCAGAAAAAAATGCCATAGGTTAAATTTTAACCTTCATGACCTTTATGATGGAACTTGTTGAATGGAGTCTAACCTACTCAGAGGTGCTGGGTGCAACATTGCTAAAACCATATTCTCATGCCTTGTTACTATTTTCCTTTTTCCTTTCTGATATTAAACTGCTGAACGGAAGCAGGTTACCCTGTAATATAGTCTTCTTCTCATGGTTGTGTGCCTTTTAGTGGATGCCTGATCCTCCATCTTTACGATGAATTTGCAGATGATGACTCTTCTGATCTAGATAATATTTTCAAGAGGACAATGCCTTGGCTTGGTGATGATATCTGCATAAAGGATCCTCAGACTCAGAATGCTGTATTACCTGGCCTGAGTTTGGTCCAGTGGATGAACATGCAGCATAGTTCTCTTGGCAATTCAACCATGCAACCTGATTACATGCGCTCTCTGGCTGGACCAGTTATGCAGAACCTAGCTGCTGCAGATATTTCCCGCCAGTTGGGCTTGCCAGGGTCACAAATCTTGCAGCAAAATAACCTCAACTTCAATACACAGAGGCCACTTCAGCAAGTACAACAGCTTGATCAGCTGGCAAAGCTTCCAACGACACTGAATCAATTAGGCTCTGTCATGCGGCCCCAGCAGCTGGATGACATAAGTCAGCAATCGAGGTCAAATCTAATTAATCAAACAGTTCAATCAAATCAAACCCAGGCCCAGTTATTACAGCCTCAGGTTTTGGTGCAATCCCCCCATGTTCATCAACAACAAACACTAATCCAGAGCCACCAAATTTCCACCAACCTCACTCAGATCCCACAACAGACACAACCACAGCCACAGCAGCTGCAGCAACTACAGATACAACAACAGCAGCAGCAGCAACATCAGCAACTACAACAGCAGCAGCAGCAGCAACAACAGCAACCACAACAACAACAGCAGCAACAGCAACAGCAACAACATCAACAGCAGCTGCAACAAGTTACTGCTCAAATCCCACAACAAAACCGTATGCCAGTTCAGCTTCCTTATCAAGTGAATCAACAATTACAGATGTCAGAACAGCAGATTCAATTGCAACTGCTGCAGAAGCTTCAGCAGCAACAGCAATCTCTTTTGTTACAGCAGTCCACACAACAGCAACCACCTCAACTGACTCAACTCCACGAGCAGCAAAGGCAGGTCTTGGAAGTGCCTCAAAATTTACCAAACTCCAACCCTAACTCATTTCCTCAGCAGATGGCAAAGAATAATACACAGCCTGGTATTCGGTTCTCTAATCCAGTACAGCAGCACCAGACGCAGCCAAAGCTTCCACAACAGCAACCTGTCACACTGGCAGAGTTGCCTGGGCAACTTGTGCTTCCTCCAGCCCCAACAACAAATTTGCTTTCAACTACAGGCAGCAGTGTATTGACTGCCACTGGAGGGGCACAATCAGGGCTTACTGATGAGCTTCCTTCTTGTTCCACCTCTCCTTCCACAAACAACTGCCCCAATGTAGCTCAGCCAATCATAAGCACTAGACCCCATTGTAGCATGGCATTGCCAGAAGAGATGACTCAGTCTGCTGCAACGCTTCTGAGTCCCAGCACCTTGGAAGCCATGTCATCTCGCCCAAATTTGGTGAGGGATTTGCAACAGAAGCCTGATGTCAAACCATCAATTCCCATTTCCAAGAGTCAGACTCAAGGGGTTGTTGCCCCACAAACATACTTAAATGCAGCATCCCAGATGGATTGCTTGGACACATCATCAACAACCTCGGTTTGTCTTTCCCAAAATGATGGGGCTTTACAACAGAACTTTCCATATTCTTCTGTCAATCCACAGTCCATGTTGCTTAGAGATGCAAGTCAGGATGGTGAAGTTCAAACTGATCCAAGGAACAACACACTGTTTGGGGTTAACATTGATGGCCCCCTTGGGATACCCCTGACTCCTGATCCTTTGCTGTCCAAGGGAATTGGGTCAGGAAAGGATTTCTCAAACAATCTCTCTTCAGGTAGCATGCTTGCAAACTTTGGAAATTCAAAGGAGGCCCAGCAGGAACTTTCCTCTTCAATTGTTTCTCAGTCATTTGGGGTTCCAGACATAGCATTCAATCCTCTTGATTCTACCATCAATGACAATGGATTCTTGGGTAGAGCTCCATGGGCTCCACCACCACCCCAATTTCAGCGAATGCGGACGTTCACTAAGGTCTGTGGTTTCAACTAAAATTTGCAACATGTGGAACTTTATTTTACTTTTATCATTTTATTTTTACTCCACAAATTTGACTGAATTGTCCTTTATATTAAAGGTGTACAAGCGGGGGGCTGTTGGCAGATCCATTGATATTACTCGCTATTCAGGCTATGATGAACTCAAACAAGATTTAGCACGTAGATTTGGAATAGAGGGGCAGCTTGAGGATCGACAGAGAATAGGATGGAAGCTTGTCTACGTGGACCATGAAAATGATGTCCTACTAGTGGGGGATGACCCTTGGGAGTAAGTCCTGCTATATCTTTTACTAAAGAATCTAAACTGATATGAAAAGAGTCTGAAGTTGGATTAGGCTTTCTTTTTTTCTTTTTTTTTCTTTTTCTATACTTTCTGCAATAGGGACTGGGATGGGGATTGGGGGAAATGGCCGTCAATAACTCTGAATATTTCTTCATAATCACTTGTCCTCTAGGATACTAGCACTGCCAGAAAGTTATTGTACCTTCCAGGTTCTGGTTTGTAGAGATCTAGCAGATGTGCAGCCTCAATTGGCAAAAGAAGATAATCGGTGAATTCTGGTTAATTTTGCAGGGAGTTTGTGAACTGTGTAAGGTACATCAAGATACTGTCCCCCCAAGAAGTCCAGCAAATGAGCTTGGATGGAGATCTAGGGACGGGTGTGCTTCCTAATCAGGCGTGCAGCAGCTCTGATGGTGGGAATGCATGGAGAAATGGTCATTGTGATCAGAACTCTGGGAATCCTTCGGCTGGGTCATATGATCACTGAAGATTCGGCTGTGGAACCTGATTGGCACTCGTAACAATAAGAACTATCCATTCTAGATCCATATTAATCAGCCAGAGTTTGTGTTTAATTGGGCTCTCATGGTTGAGTTTTGCTGCCTCAAACCAGTTTGGTTCCAGCTGGCAGAAGGTGCAAGCAAGTATATCTGGAATGAGGATATAACCACCATCCACTGGTTCATGAGGCGCATGTCTAAATTTTGAATCTGTATTGAAGATAAACTGTGGTGAGGGCAGCTGAAGTAGGAGAAAGGCCATTTGATTGATCAACAACTTCAATTGGCCCAGGTTTTCTTATGTAGATTCTGCTTCGTGTTTGGGGAAGAACAATGTAAGATACCTCAACGGGCATACGATATAATGAATGCTTGTTAGAACATTTTTTTCCCGCCCCGGTACATTGCAGAAAGCACAGAAGCTAGAAATTTGTACTGCTTGGTTTCAAAATGTATAAATGTGTAGATTTCTATTTTTCCTCTCCTGCAGCAAAATGCCTCTGTAAATTACATCAGTATTGTAGCTTGAGTATTGTCACAGCAAGCCTTTCCAGAATTCAGAGCAATGAAGGACTGGGCTTTCCTTGCATATTTCACAAATTGGCCTGGTCAAATTTTATGCCTTAAAATGCTGCGATCAAATCAAACAAGCTGAAATTATGTTCATTTGGATTGTTTTGAAAATCTCCCACGAATTACTGTAGTGTACCTCGGCAAGAGAACGAGACTTGATTTGATCTAGGAACTCTACTGGAGAACGACTAGAGAGATTTGTCTTTACTTTTAACAGCCATTTTGGATTTGCATCGACAGTTATCAACATGGTGTGACATCGAATAGAATTTTACTTGTTTTATTGAGCGGACGGTGGACATAGGTGATGACTGTCCAAATCAGACTAGGCGTTAGCTGCTTATTATTATTTTACTCACTTGGCTTCAAATTTGTCCAAGTCTGATTACAGAATGCCTAACCTTTCTTCTCAACAATGCTTGTTTGGTTAAGGGATACAAAAAAGTTTGCGCTTTTCCATGAATTTTTTACGTGTGTCCACTCTGTTCCACAAAAAAAAAAAAGGCCTTGACCAAAATATTATACATTTGTTTGCAGAGTTCAAGTAAAATTTACTTTAACTGATAGAAGTCAAGGACCACAGAAAGCGAGTTGGGAAAAGGGAAAGGAAAGATGTTGAAAGGAAAATAATCTATTTTGTCTAATAAATTCATTTTATTTTTTTTTAGCGGATGTGGCAATAAATAAACATATTTCAGGTGGTAAATTTCCCTTTAGCCTGTGTTTAGTTGCAGTGCAATTTTATTTTGTATTAGTACAAATATATAAGTGCAAATGAAAAGAATACAAGTTTTGGTTTAATTTTATTTTGGGTTTTACAGTTTTACTTTATTTTGTTTAAGTCTTTTGCTTTATTTCATTTGTACTGCAATCTAACAAAATAAGGTAAATTTTAAAATAAAATAAATCATAATTTGTACCAAAATCATTTGCATTACCATAGTTTTACATCAGTGCAAGGTTCAAAATATTGATATGCCTGATACATCGGTAGAGTATCAGGTAGTACCGGTAGCTTTTTTTTTTTAATTTTTGTAGTTTTTGTTTTCAAATCCAGTTCAGAGGGGCTGCTTGTCCGCCCCTTGAACCGGTTGAAATCCCAAAACACTCCTTGGGTGTGTCAGGAAGCCCCGGACACGGTCAGATACGTATCGATATTTTGGACCTTGCATCAATGCAAATAAATTCATATTACAACCAAACACAACCTTAGACCCAGTGTGGAAAGAGTACAAATACAAATATGTACAGTACAAAACTACAAATAGATACAAAATATATGATTTTGCACTCTACATATTTGTATTTTTACTCCTTCCAAATTAAGCCTTAGGCTCAGTTTGGAAACGATGTAAATAGAGTGAATGTAAATATGCAGAGTGTAAAATGGTTAATACAATTGCAAACTTGGGATAATTTTGCATTGATAAATTTACTTATTACCAAACAGACTTTTAGCTATAATGGATGCAAACACGAATCCCAATAAAATATATCTTTTAACAAAGTCTACATTGAATGCAAAATTACTTCTTTTTTATTGATGTACATTTACCTTTCATTTTTGATATAAACATGCATTGGAAAATGTATTTTCTGTCATTTGTTAATACATAACTGCACTCTTGCCAAACATCGACAAAACTGAACCAAAATACATATTTACCTTGAACTGAGATTTACACTCTGTTTGCATCGTTTCCAAACGGAGCCTTAGTTTTTGGGAATTCAAGGAGTCAACGTTACGGTACACTCTGTTTGCATCGTTTCCAAACGGAGCCTTAGTTTTTGGGAATTCAAGGAGTCAACGTTACGGTGCATGAGAGTGGTGAGTTAAATTTGATGCAAAATCTGGACGCTTTCTTTGGAAATTCACAGCTAAAGTTGGAAGAAAGAATGTTTTAGTCAAGTAATGTTGGAGCTGAGAGTGGCTGTTTCTATCTAATGTTTACATCAACAGTTCCTTGAGAGATGAGAAAAGTCATTATTGGTTTTAGAATCGTGTACTCAATGTCTCAAAATTTAAGCATTAACAGTTATTTAACTGTTCCAAGTTGAACCTTCATATTCAAGTTGCCATTGATTAAGACATTTAAATTGTCCAAATATCTATTGATGTAACTTGCCTGGTTAGGTGGAGACTGTGGAGCCTAGTCATCATCACTCATCACTGCCCAAGCTCCATAATTCCTCCCACCAAGCAAAACTTGGTTATTAACTCGGGTTAGTTCTTTTCCCCTAGCTGTGATTTGAGAGTCTGGATCTATTCCTCACACCAATCTTATAGCATGTTCTGGTTGTACATCGGGAACATCGCCCATACTTGTATTGTTATTAATGGAAAATGTTTCTAATACATAGTGGGATGTGTTGTGACTTGTGAGAAGCGCTCTGTGAGGGATAAATCCCAATTCTGATTTGAGCTTTGAAATACTGTATTTTGATTGGTCAGATGCTTTTCGGTTGAACCCTTTTTTTACATAATTGGCCAGAATGTTCAGGTTAGTGCCCTGCTGTATATGACTGATGGGCTATGTAACCAATTACAAGTAAACACACAAGTATTCTTTACACATGGGACACTGGGTCATTGACTCATTGGTAAGGATGTCAATGGACCGGATTTGTCCAGTCCAAAATCAATTTGGATGGATTGGATGGACTAACAAAATATTTATTAGATTGGATTTGACATGGTCCGTCTGTAATAAATTTATATTAGACTGGTTGGATTAAATCAATATCTAGTCCATTAACCTAAGATAAGAATATAGGTGTCAAAAGACTGGGTTTGAATTGAAACCAATCTAAATTAAAACAAATTTGAACAGATTGATCGGTCCAGACATTAAATTAAACTGATCCAAAATATTCATTGGATTGGATTGGACTGATCCATTTGTAATACTTACATTGGACTGGATTGGATTGGACCTAATCCGGTCCAATTGACAACCCTACATAGTCGTCCTCATTTTCTCTCTCCTCGTCTCTTTTTTTTTTTTTTTGAAAACCATCACGGTTGGGGGGTCAAGACTCTAATATTAGATTTTAGATCAATAAGCGTGAATCACAACTCACAAGCAGTGCTTGTTGTTGTTCTAGAGTTATCTTTCGTTTTCTGGGAAGTAGGGGTGGACCGTTGGACTCTACAAAGGCTGCAAAGTTGAATATCACTGTCAATCATCTCAATTTAGAAAAGAATCCATCAATTTTGAATTTTGGGTTCTCCTCTGATTTTCTTTCTTTCTGTCTATCAGTCACGCTTCAACTGTGAAGACCCCATTGTTGTTAAATATTTCTTTTGAGCTTTTATTCTTTCTTTTTCAGTTTCTTCCACATCTTTGGCAAGGTTTCAGTGGAGTTCATAATGGAGTCGTAAAGTGAATGAAAGATGTTCAAGGAAGAAGGCTATCTTCTTAGATTGTGTTTGGACTTGGATTAAGGAGGAAGTGGACAAGCTGTTCACAACCCTTTGGTGGTCGATGATGAGGAAGCGCAAAATCCCCAAGTTGCATTCCATTTTCCATTGAAGCGACAGAAAGCAGCAGCATATAATCCAAACAAAACCTTATCTCCTTTTAAGGGCATCAACATCAAACCATCACATTAAACCAAAGGGGGAAGTGGGGAACTTGGAGGAAAACATGGAGGAATCCAGATTTCATCCTCACAGAATTGCTCTTTATACACCGACCTCATGACACTTTCAGCTGTGCATAAAAAACATCTTTCCATGAATAAAAATATATAAGGATGGTGTGAGAACCAATTTTGTGAGGACTAGATCCAATCTCAACAGAGTGGCGATAAGGTCTAAACCTGACTAGGGAACAGATTTCTTGGGTTATTTAATCAATCTGAATACATTATAAAAGAAAAAAAAAAACAAGAGAAATGGCCTGAAGATAAAGGTGATGGATGGTAACAGCTTCCATTTTATCAGTGTTTTAAGATTCAGGCTGGACTGGATGATTGGACAGTGAACTGGGAACTGGTAGCCTTCTGGGTTCCAGTTAAATGCCAGTTAAATGATGGTTTTGCAGGATTTCATGGGTTGGACGGGCAAACCACCTGGTAAACCAGTAAAATCAGGACCTGTGGAGCATTCCTGTTTTTAATCCGGCCCAAGTCTTAAAATACTTCTTTCGATTATATCTACTGTCTAGTAATATTGGGGTCTTAGTTCTTACACTTCCTTTGGTTTACAGTCAGAATTGGAATCAGAATCAGAATGCTTTATTCTAAAGTCTGTTTGGTTAAAACAAGAATCAGAATAAACATTGGAATCAATTAAAATGAGATTTTATTCCCAAAGCATAAAGAAGAAATTGCCATTCCTTCAAATGGAGGAATGTCATTACACCAAAAATGAGAATGAGATTTTGATTCCGTTTCCAAACCCCCAATGGGCCCTTAGTAAATTTGACACCATCCACAAATCCACTAAGTTAAGCAAAAGGCAAACGTTGGAAGCGCTGATTTGTTACTTTATATACAAAAACATGTTATTGATGTATTATCATTCTTGGATTGGTTGGGTTTGCTTAAGCGTCAATCTAAGTCCAACCTGGTTGGGAATTTTCATCCAAGGCCAAATTAATGTCTTAAGAAAGCCAAATTAGAGCTACCACGGTCTGGGTCCAACAATTTCAATTAGAGCCTGACTCAAGTAGAAAACTTTGCACCCTTTATAACTCTAGTTTGGTCCTTGAAAAATGGGAATCGGCCTCGTATTCTCCCTCAAATGATATTTGTATCAATCAAATTATTTGCAAGATAGAATGTAATTTGATTTTAGTATTTTACTTAACCATCTTAAAGCCTATCAAGTAAGGCCTAATAAGAGGGAGGTTTTTAGCTTTCTTAAGGCAACGTATCTGACAAAACCATCCAATCAGTTCTGTTTTAGACCCCTTTGAGTTCCTTTGGAGGTCTAATTACAAAAGATCGAACCATCACAGTCTAAGTTCTCGTTCCACCATTGTAATGACTCTTTAAGTCACATCACTTGTATGAGAGGTGGTGCAAACACTAAATCAAGGTTCAAAATATCGACACATCTAATACGTCGGTAGAGGCGTATCGGGCGGTATCTATAGCTTTTATTTTATTTTATTTTTATTTTTTTTTTCAAATCTTGTTCAGAGGGGCCGGTTTAAGGTCCAATGTTTGATTATTTATTTGTCGCACAAAAAAACTTTTMGAATTCCCGGTAGAAAGAGATTTTGCTAACGAAAAAACTTTTACCGCTGCCCAATACACCTTTCTTTTCCAAATATTTTTACGAATACGCTTTTTTGATATAGAAGTACGTTTCTTTGGAACCACCATTCAGTCACCCTGAACCGGTCGAAACCCGATACACCCTCTGTAGGGGTGTATTGGGAAGCTCCTGATACGATACGTATTGGGCGATGGATACTTTGAACCTTGCACTAAATTACATTAGAATATGGATAAAGTGAGAAATTAAGAAAGGTAGACTTCACCCATCATGGAGATAATAAAGAGGAAAATATGGTTATTGTTTCCCCAGTTGAATTAATTATTAGATAAAGGAAGATAGCTTGAGATTTACAGAGACGAAGGGAATTAGACTCCTTGCAGGCATAAAGAAACGGAAGTAAAGGCAATCCTATCAAGCCATCGACTTTTCATCACCAGCCTGAAAGAAGGATTCGTATGTAACCACCCTAGTCCTTGAATCGGGTAGGTCTAGCTCTTCCATGAAATTGCTGCTCATCCTTAGAAAATCATTCAAGTGTACTTGCTTCCATTCCTTTGAAAACATAAAGAAGACAGAATCAAAGAAGCAGGCTAAAATCAACTCACAAAATTACCTTTAACAACTAGAAAACGGACAAACATGAGAAAATGTAGAGAGAGAGAGCAGGATGTGCAGAAGAGAAAATTTACCTCAAAATCCCATTCTCCATACAAGTTTGGGTCATTCTTGTTTTCCCAAACATAGGTGTGAGCCTTTATCTTCTCAGACTTGTCCTGCAAACATTCCTCACCCTTCAAAATTTGGACACATGGCCAAGTCACTGAACTTGCTCTATGAATTAAGATAGGAGAGGCAACACCATTGGACCACTCCCCTAATTCCCCTATATTTCCAATGGTATCGCCCCTCCAGGTCATGGAGTCATTTGGAAGACCAGGGTGTTCAAGACCCATTCATAGCAAATAAATAATATGATTCTAATAAGTACTTACTGTTAATGATACCTCAACACTTCTTCTTTCATATTCAACATCTTCAAAAGCATCTAAAATATCTAATTCAGGATCTGTTATATGCTTGAGGACCTGCAGCTCAAACATCATTAGAAGCAGTGACTCATTAAATCATAAGGTTGGGATTAGTTATATCACTTGCATTGTTCATTCTAACGTTTTTGGTAAAAAGGAAATAAATAGCAGTCTCCAATTAAATAAAGTGCTCATGTCTCATGCATAATTTCATGAATAGTTGTATATCTCAATTGGCTGTTTCATGAAGCAACAGAACAAGTTAACATGTAAATTATTTATACAAAAAAGAAACATCTATATATTTATTTAGCAGACTATATATTCTATTAAAACAAATTAACATATAAATTACGCCACAATCTACATCACAAAATAACATCCAGACCCAGAGAATTGATTCTTTAATACTCATGGGATGAGAAATCAAAAACTTCCCTCATCAATGAGGCTATGGGCTAACAATTTAAGTTACAAAACAAATAAAAGGTGGGACTTAAGAAAAAGCCCTTGCTTGGCAATTAGATCATCTTAACCCAGAAAGTGAGGGCAAAAAAGACAAAGGCAGATTCGAATGAATTAGGTGACTTCTTACATGACAAGCTTTTCTCACCTCTTCCCACATAAGTAGGGATGTCAGTGTGTCAGGTTAAGTGAGAAACCCCCAAATCCAGCCCATTGCCTTGTACAATTGGTACACATAAAAATAGCCTTGGTTGAATATAGCTGTGCTATTTATTGGGTGGAGAATCAGGTTCAGGTTTCCATTTCTTTAGATTGGTCAGGTTCAGGTTGAAGCAGCTTTGGGGTCAGGTTCAAGCTGAACCATGACATTCGTATACAGAAGGATGACAATTAGTTTTTTAAGTGAATGCTCCTGGTGAATAGACAAAATGAAAAACTGGATATTACTGTCACATGCCCATTAGTAGGACTTACATATTTGGGGTGATATTAGCTGGGTTGTTAATTGTAAATAAATGAAGAGTCGTATGTGTGAAGTGAGAACAAGTCTTTTAGGGGATATGGTTACAATTGGTTATTGTGTCATGAGCTGGGTAAAAGCATAGTGGGTCACGGGTAGTGAGTAGTGGGTCCATGTGGTATCTGGGTCAGTCACATCTTGGCAAGAAGTTGTTGGTCAAATTGAGGTTGGGATAAGTGGGTCAAGTTGTTACTTAATTTTAGGGGCCAAGTTTTTAGGAGTCAGTTATTATTCAAGAGTCTATTTAAGTTGTAATTTCCCTCTTATTTAAACATTATGAGAATTTTCTTTTGTTAATTGAGAGTCATCTCTTTGGAGGTGTTCGTCTCCCTCAAAGTAGACGGAGTTCACTTTACGTCCTATTTGGAACTGTAACAATTACATTAACAATACAAAAATAGCTTGGTGATGCCCATGAATAATCTTCTTGAACAATTGATGCAACCTACCGCTAACATATTTCCATCATCAAATCTTAGACAGATCCACAGATTTCATTTTATTTCTTGAACAAAAAGGTAATATTTGTTGCAACTTCAACTTTCATTGACAATGGTGCTATAAGTCAAATGAAAGAAAGTTCACCATTGAACATTTAGTTTTATCCCCCTGCTTTAAAGTTTCAAGGATATGCTGTCTTTAAAATTTTCTTTAATCTTAATTGGCTTCACTGGAATCATATCAATGTGAGACATAGGATTGAATTTTCTCTTGAAAAATGGGCACTTCATAATCTGTCATATCTTAGAATGTATATAAAGAAAGTTATCAAGAATAGTTATAATCTAAGATGATAAAACACAAGGACAACTAATCTGGACCAACATAACCAACATTTATGTATATCTCTCAGCAATTACAAGAAACAAAAAAAGAAAAAAAAAGGTCTGTAACATACCTTTCCAGTAACTTTTTTATTCTCTACAGGTAAAATTGCTGGATATACACGCCCTTTTATGCTAAACCTATGGCTGCAATGTGAAAATTCATGTCAGCAATGAAAATGTAGTTACTTAAACAATTGGTGTTCTAGGTTTTGACTGAAGGAAAAGACTGGGAGAATATGCTAGATCTAATGTAAACATTCAATTCCTACAACAAACATGCTGGAATGGCTACTTTGAGCAAAATATACTGGAGGTTAGGTCTATACTTAGTCTACTCCTCCCAAGACTCGAGATAGCTGGGAGCAGCATTAGGTCATAGCCTTATTTTGTAGAAGAAATATTGGCAAATAATCAAATAAATATGAGAAAAATGCCAAGCATGTTTTGTTTTCTTCTACCCCTTACAAATTCATCTTACAGAACATATCTGGAATACTGTGTGGGGCCTACCTGTTCTGACAGTTACAGTTACAGGACCAACTTGAAATGACACAATGTTCCAGATGTGTGGTGGTGTGCAGTGCATTTGCAAGAGATACCAAAAAAGAAAAATAAAAATGTATGCATCACTCTACATATGATCACTTAGACTAGTAGAAAAAAGAGTATTATTGCAAGAAATTGTAATTTACATGTTGGAAAACAAACTTTAATCCAAGCTTTAGCCAGAGCTGTTTTTCCCAAAGAAAATAATTATATCTTAAACTTGCAATTACAACATTAAGAAGTGATGTTTTCAGTATACTTATATTTGTTTAAATTAGAATATATACAAGTGCAAAGAAAAAAAAAAAACAATCAAATCAGGCATCATATTCTGAGAGTGGCTAACTGTCCACTTCATGTGAAAAGGTGCCAAAGGATAGGCCTCCTCCCAAGACCAAATAGCTGGGACCACTGTTGGGTAATGACCCTTCATCAGGGCATCATATTCATGAACAGATTTAAGCCTACTATAAAACAAACTACAGATGACAGCTCCAAGCCAATGCCATATTTCCATGCAAATATGAGGCCATAAAAACATAGAAATTTCATTTTCTTTTCACAAATACTTTTCTTTTCTTTTCTGTAATAGTTATTAGTTACTTGAATCACTACGACCACTTGGTGCCATGTGCCAAATCAACCTATGAATAAGGATGCAAACAGTATCCATTTGTGTGAATCTGAATATATATCGGATCCATTTATAATTGGATTGAGTATGAATCTACCCTATCTGATCTGATAATGTTTAAATTTATATGATTGTATATACAAAAAAAAAAAATCAAATTGGATCCATTGGTAAAGTTGGTTTGAATGTTGCCTATTTACTAAAGAGTCATAAGTTCAAGTCTCATAAAGGTAATTTTCAATTCATTTTGTCCATGATATACAACATCAAATTCATTTACTTCATTTCAATAATATATAATATGATATTTTTAGTTTAACTTATTAATGAAACTCAATATCCGAAATGAATCTGAAATTCAATTTTTAGTTGATCAGCAACACAGAAAAGATTCATTAATTAAAAAATCATGTACAACAAGAAGTTGGCAGACAAGAAGTCCAAAGTATCCCACTAATTACATCACAGCCCCAAATCATAGCCCAAAGGACAATTCCTTTAATTACATCACAGCCCCAAAGGTAACCAAAAAAGAAAATCCCACTAACTACAACATAGCCCATAACATAGATTGTCTTTGAACTCCTTGCTTAGCTAGACCATCAGCCATGCTGTTGGCTGACCTTCTAATCCATCTTATTTGAATCACCATGTCTTTAGAACCTTCTAATCCATCTTATTTGAATCACCATGTCTTTAGCAGCCTGCTTGAAGCACCTGAGCTCATTCCTTAGCTGCCAAGTTATTCCCTCCCTTTTCTTCAGCCAGTTCACCACAATTTTTGAGTCTCCTTCAATAATCAACCTGTGAATCCCCATTTCTTTAGCTTTCAACACCATAAACTGCTGCCTTCATTTCTGAGCTCACCACATCCCCATGCTGAATAGGACCTGAGAACATGGCTAACATATTTCCATTCTCTTCCCTTATTACCCCCACCAATGCCCGATGGGCCCAGATTTCCCAAACAGCTGCCATCAAAATTTAGTTTCTTCCACCCAGAATTAATACGAGCCTGTATTAATTCTGTATCAAATGTTAACCAATGGGGGAAAATTTTCATCTTGAGAGAGCTAGGAATTGATTGCAATAGGTTTTGCATAAGGGTTGAACTTGATACCCAAAAGATATCATACTGGAAAATTTTGTAGCTAATCAACTATAAGTTTTCCCTTTGCATAATCTTCATTATCCTGTAAGTTTACTGCTAAATGATATATTGGTAACGATTGGGAGCCAAGTCTAATCCATTATAACTTGTAATGGGCCCTTCATTTGTCGGGTAAGAGTTCTAATGATTTTTCCTTAAGTTAAAACTGGTTCTTTACAACTCCAGTTTGCCCTCAAAAAATATACTAGTATAAATCATGCTGGTATAGAAAATGAACTTTGATACTGATAATTAGATATGCTCCAGCGGAAACAGAAAATGTTTTCATTGTCTCAACAGTGGGGAAGGCAAAAACTACCCTTTGTTGACTTATCAGATTGCTACTCAAGTATCTAAGTGCTTTTTCCTCCTCTTTTGGGCATCTTGGAAACCTCTTCCAAAAATCTTGTATCTTTGACATCTTGTTGCACAGAAAGGAAGAAAATCTTGTGGCATTGTACCAGGGCAGCAATTTTGCGGAACCATTTGGGTGAAAGGAATGTAAATTCAAGAACAAATAACAAAATGTACAATCTTTAGTTGAGCTCGTCAGGTGAGAATAATATATTGGGCTTTGGTATGTCAAGAATTTAAGGGGTTCACAACTAATGATTTATTGGGGCTAGCAGACTAGTGGGCTTTCTTCCATCAGAAGGCAGCAAATTCTTGAGTAATGGAGGGCTTTAAAGAGGGACAGAATGAAACTAACTAAATGGTTGCAGTGTGGGCAACCCTAATTCTTCTAGCATAGGTGTTCTGAAAGACAATAGTGGTAATATCTTACTTGGCTTCTCAGGGCCTGTGGGGCAATGTAATTCCAAGAGAAGAGATGTTTTCCTTTATTCAAGGTTTAAATTTGGTTTCCTTCAAAGGTTGGACAAATCTAATTGTTGAGGGTGACTGCAAAGTAGTTATTCTTCGGTTGAGATCAGAGGATGAGTCACCTTGAATGTACACGTTACTAGTTAGAGAAGCAAGAGAAGTAGGCAGCATCCTGAACTGCTCATTTGGGTGGTTAGCCGATTCTTTAGCAAAATCTGGGTTGTGGTGAAAATATGTAGTTGTGTACTTTAGGCCTGGACATGACTGTAAATATTTTATTGTAATTATAAGTTCGTATGGTTAGCCTTGGGATGTATTGATCTGTTACCTGCTAACCAATTTTCAGGATAGCATGAAGTTTGATGCATCAAGTTTACCTGATACATCAAGTTTGATGCATCAAGTTTACCTGATACCTTAGCAAAACAAGGGACTGTAAGGGAGAGTTTTTACTGGGCAGTGCTGCAATTTCATGTCTATTGGCCCAACCTCTTCTACTAGGGGTTCATGTCTGTATTTCAGATTTTTAAATCTCATTAATGAAGTTACCGTTTCTGATAAAAAATACATCAAGTTTACATCATGATGAAAGTGGAATCCCTGAATTCAGGATCGTGTTTCTTAGCTGTATCTCTAAGTCTCTATACTCTTTTTTCAACTTGGGCAGTTTTGTGCCACTGGCCTTGCAGGTACAACCTTTGCTTGCATAATTACTAGTACCTACAACATGAGCCTCTATGTGATCAAATGCATTTCCCCCAGGTCCTTATTGATTTGTTTTAGCCTGAAATTATGCTTCTACAGCTTCTCCTAAATAGTAATCTAGCTCTTGTCTTTCTTCTCTCTCAAATGAATTTATGGTCACTAGATCGACAGATGCCTACGAAATCTAGTATCCATATTTTTTTTAGGAAAACAGCATTATATTTCATTAAGATCAACTCCAAACCAAGGTTCTAAATATCGATACAGGCCGATATCGGCGCTTTTTTTGTGTTTTATTTTTTTTTCAAAACTGGTTCAGAGGGGTCAGTTTAAGTCCCGGATACCCTCTGAACCATGGCCTGACCCGATAGACTCCCTATAGAGGCGTATCGGGAAGTCCCCGATATGATACGTATCGGCCGATACGTAAGAATATTTTGAACCTTTCTCCAAACTACCATAAATGGTGAACAGAGGACTAAAGGAATATAAAACAAATTCATATAAAACTACAAAGTATTACAAATTAAAACTACACCATGGTAATCCCCATTCCATATGATTCATTACAGCCCGTATTCTTGCTAAGGGGTCAGCAAAAGCATTTGCACTCCTAAGCACCCAGTTGAATGAGCTATTCAAACTGCTGACACGGATTTGTACCTGTCTAACTAAAGGTTTAAAATTCCAAGGAACTTCCTCTTGTTTTTAAATCCAATAAATTATAATTTGGCAGTCACCCTCCATCCTCCATCTCAACAGTATTCATGCCATTCATACTCATCAGTTTAGTCCTTGGATCAAGGCCAGCAATTCAGCCCTTATGGAATTGCGTTGATCAATTGGGCCAGAAAAGCTAACCTAAGTGTTACTGTTATGATTCTTATTACACCCCCAAAAAACAGACTTCCCTAGATTACCAATTAGTCATCACTTAGAATGATTCAATTAGTCATCACTTACCAAGGTCTAATGAGCAACCCTTACTATAATAAGATCAATCAATATCTCAACCTCCAATGCTTTATCTTCAAAAATTCTCACATTTCTTTCACTCCACAAACCCCAAATCACTTCTGCCTTTGTACACTGCCACAATATTTTCTATCTTCTGGTATTGTGTGTCAATAAATTTGTATTAAACAACCTCATAACATCTGATGGGGCAACCCAGCTGCCCCCACCATTAGTGAAAAAGAAGGTCATTCCCTAATCCAAATCCACTATATATAAAAGAAGAAATGGTTCCATTCCTGAGCATTAAAGAATTTAAACAAAACAAGACAGTCAAACAAAGTACTCCAATCTACTCAAGTAAAAATTTGTAAAACAAAATTACATTGGCAAAATTAAAATGGAAATTCCCAAATCACTAGTCAAATCCTAGAGATATTAAAAAAAAAAGATAAATCACAGCTTAATCTGAAATTCAGTACATGCCTCTTCCTCTAGAACCTCTGACCACTCTACTACTAATATCATCATCATCTTAAGTCTTGTCCCAACTATATGGGGTCGGCTACATAAATCCTGTTTTTCTATTCCATTCTGTTCACTAAATAAACACTCCAGCCACAACTTGGGTAGGTGCCTCATGATTGGCTAATCAATCCCTTTTATTGATTTCCAAAGAAACAAAGAGAAAAAAATCTTCGAAGTAAAACAGAAAATGATAGTTCACAACTTAAATAAGTGCTCGGACTTCCAAAACCCTTAATAGATCTCATGTAGAGGTGTAAATCGGGTCGTGCCGTGCCGGCCTGCAGGCCGTGCCACGCTCCCTTGGGATAACTTGGGGGGTCGGCCCGGCACAGCTCACGGCCCAAGCCCTTGCTGGCCCGTGCCGTGCCGCAGGCCAGGCTGGTCCATGGGCCAAGCCTTGGGCCAGGCCGGGCCGTGGACTAGGCCAAAGCTATTTATTTAAAAAAATTGAAAAAAAACTTAAAATTTTAATTTTATATGAATTTTGATGTATACAATTGCTTCTATATACAATAATTAAATGAATTAATATAGTAAAATTGAAAATAATTGTTTATTTTATTAATATATTATATACTATATATTATTATATAATTATAATTTATATAAATATATTATATATTATATTATATATATATATAAATATATAAAATATATATATGTAATATATATGGGCCGTGCTGCGTTGTGTCAGCACGCGGGCCATGGGCGGCACGGCCCCGCTTGGTCATGCCATGCCGGCCCAGCCCACTCGGTCGTGCCGTGCTGGCCTGGTCCATGGACCTAAAACCCCAGGCCCAGCACAGCCCACACGATCATGCCGGGCCTGGCACGGCCCGTGTGCCGTCATGCCGGGCCGCGGGTGGCACGACCTGATTTACACCTCTGATCTCATGGCATAGTTGGCTTTATTATGCTGGCTCCATGACTGGACCATTAACCTAAACCTAACGCCTTAACTCCCTGAATTATTGCTAATTTCTCATGCAAAATCAATTCTGTTGGATGATTGCCATCATTGTTTAAATGAAATACAATGAACCATCAACAACAAGAAAATAAATGGAAGGCACTCTGAGTAAAGTGTTTATTGTCCACGGTGAAGAGTTAAAGCCAATCTCTAAGGTTCCTTAAGTATTCTGCTGTCTATGGTGAAGAGAGGAAGCAAACGAAGCAACCAAAAGAGGGGGCATCTAATCCATTCTCGTGGATTAAACCTTGAATTAAGAGAGACACTGATTACAATCCCAACCTGAAACTACGGTCTTGCATGACAAGGGTTTTGGATAAAAAGAAAGACAGATTAGGATAAAGAGAAGGGACAAACCAAGCAACCAAAAGGAAGAGGGGGTGGGGTGGAAAATTGTAAATCTCAACAACAGTCAGATTCAAACCAGAAATACAAGAAGGAAAAAGAATACAAAGAAAACAGAGACTGAGAAGTGGTTTCTTTTCTCATAAAATGAAAAGGAAATTATCAGCTGACACTCACTCCAATTACTTCTAAGCTAATCACAGACCAAGAAAGAATATAATAGTTCAAAGTCTAATTAACCAAAGAACAAAAACCTGAAATTATTATTCCAATCCAGAGCTGGGTTCTGTGTGGAAGTGTATATAGAATCTAAGAATTGGGGCGAACAGATTCAGAAGCATTCAATAATTCAAAACTTCCAAATAAATACTTAAAAAAAAAAAAACAGGGACCCATAAGATGATAAGGATACCGTTCAATCAGAACCCATTAAGCATATCCAATTTACACACATACGGATGAGAGAGAGAGAGAGAGACTTACTAGCCGTCAAGGGCAGCGGGAGAGGATTCAGGGACTCGCTTCAATAGCACACGCACAACCTCGTCTGCCAAAAGGCTTCCGTACACAAAGACGTTGTGGAGACTTTGGGGATTCTGGAGAACAGGAGAGGATCCCATGATGCCTCTCTCTTTCTCTCTGTGTGTGTGTGTGTGACTGGGTGTGTTATCTGCTTATTTTCCCACTCCCACACCCCCTGGAAGGGAGGAAAGATCCAAGAAAAATGTTGGATCGTTGGGAGATGGATGGGGCCCACAAAACCCAACCGTAGACGTTAGTACACTGTACACCCTATATCATGGACCATGGGAATGGAACCCGCCTTTCATTACTTCAGATCCCAGGTGAGATTGACCTTACGAACACACCGCTGATCTGTGGAACGTACACGTGGCAAGTCAAAATTGACCTCCACCTGCCCATACCCACACGTAACAACATAACAACATATGAGAATAACAAAAACTATGACCCTTGTTAGAGGAACCGCTGTGAGTATGGCCAACGAGCTACGTTGAAATGCAAAGGGATGCAAAAATGATTAAATGCCCTTTTAATATCTATAAATAACCAGTTTAAGGAGTAATTCAAATAAAATGATAATTAATCTTTATAAATAACTAAAACACCCCTCTCAATAATTCTAAACTTTTAAATGATTGAAATACCCCCTCTAAAACAACTAAAACAGCTAAATTTCAACTAATCTCAGCACCAAAATTTTTAAAATGTAAAAGCTATATCAAATTCAGAGATGTACAAAACATGCCAAAGATTCGAGCCATTTTTTGGTTAATTCGTTAAGGTGAAGCCTACCAAGTAATAAATCTAGAGATTACAAACTACTTTAGAGAAAACTGGCGGGCCCCGTGCAGGAATCTGATATGAACTCTGGGTCAATTGGGTCACATTGAAGATAAATTTAGGCCCAGTCTTGAAGGTGTAAATCTCAAGTTTAGGTATTGATGAAGGGGAATTTGGCCCGACCTCGCAATCACCCAATACGTGGTAAAAACAAGCAACTCAGGACAGTAGAGCGCCCGAAGCGAGCACCGAAAGCAAGTCCAAGCTCACTACTGAGCCCGAACTCCACCAGACCGCTCTAAAAGGAGCCCGAGCTCCCTACCAAGAGTCCGAGCTCCCTATTAAGAACCCGAGCTCCCTATTAAGAACCCGAGCTCCCTATTGAGAACCCGAGCTCCCTGCAAGGAGAACCCGAGCTCCCTGCAAGGAGCACAAACTATATTGGGCCCCAAGCCTCCCAAAGCTGTGACCCGAGCTGGCCCATGGCAGTTCGAAACACTCCCCAAACCGAACTCAAGACATCTCGCTCGCCACTCCAACACTTCGCTTCTGAAACACTAGGCTGACCAAACGTACTTGACACCAAGGACGTCGTATCCAAGGGCAACGCACCTGACTGATTTGGGATCTGACGCCTGACAACCGCACTTCAAACGGCCTCCTGCTACCGCCACTTGCCACCGTCGTTACTAGCCGCAGAAACGGCTCCGACAAAAGGAGTAGTGGCGGTTCTATCCGGCCAGAGGAAATGACATCCGAACTGGCAGGAGTTCAGAAGTAATCATGCCCGATCTGACGGAGGCCTGGAAGTGAGTGCGCGAGGTGGTTATAAAAGGCTCCTACCCCCCAGGAACGAGGTATGCTAACTTTTGCGCTATCTGGTCTATCTTGCCTTTGAAAGACTCTAACTTGAGCTTCGGAGCCCTTATGCCGGGTTCTCCCCGAAGCTTCTCTTCTCCCTCCGTTTCAGGTCCCTGCCACCCAGTTCAGAGGCAAGATCGTTGACAGCTAAGATTGGCCGAATTGTGCATCATCAAGTCTAATTCAACTTGTGGTTAAGCTAAAGTTTATCAACCCAACCTAGATTGAGCTAGCTTAATCCAACAGAATTTAGAGATAGGCTCAAGCTCGGCTTAGGTATAGTCAAGCTTTGTTGGATTTGTTGGGCTTAAAAGAATGCATGGATATAATGGCCCAACTTTACAATACAATCGATTCAAAATATGCACAAATTCCATTTACAAATGTAATATGCATATCTTATACATATATACATGTAAGGGTAATCATGGGCAGGGTTGGGCTTGCATTTGTGATAAGGGATAGCTTAGGCTAGGGCCCATCTTGAGTCCCAGGCTAACATGAGCTTGACTACCCAAGCCCATTTTGTTGGGTAAGACTAAGACATGAGTTGGAGTGAGCCCAAGTTGGGTTGGGTCAGGCTTTGTCTACCCAAGCCCAAGCTTTCTAACCCAAGACATGAGTTTGAGTGAGCCCAAGTTTTCTAACCAAAATTTATATCAAGCCCAAGTTTTCTAACCCAAGCCTAGTCCACAACTTGAAACATAAGCACAACATGTGCAAACTCGGGTTGGGTCAAATAAGTTTAAATCCAGTCCAACCATAAACTTATTAATGTTTAATTTTAGCAATTCTTAAATGAAATTTAAATTAACGAAACAAACTTTAAAATTGATAAAGTTATATTGTATTATTTTTTTACTTTTTTTTTCTTGTTTTTAATTTTATTATTGTTAGAGGAATAGGTTGTATCATGTTTATTGGGTTCCACTTCCATGGTTGTATCAATCGTAGGGGTGTAATTCGCGCAGGCTAAGTTGGGTTGAAAATCAACCCATGCCCAACCCTAAAAGGTGCAAAGCTCAGATGCAAGCCTGGTCCAATCCAAGGTTAAGCCCAATTTTATCAACTTAAATCCAATCTAAGCTTAAACCAACACAACTCAGATTGTGCTTGGGCTTGAGCTGGGCCAGGCCAAATTAGTTGGGCTTGGGCGAATTGGTCAGGCTTGAAAGAATTTATGTATCTATTGATTGAATATATGTACAAATTTCGTTTACAAACACACACTTTAGATATACACACATGTATATATAATTGGAATAAAGATATTTTTATATAAATATAATACACATGCGTATGCATTTTTTTTGGGTGGGCTTGAGTTGGGTCAAGTTGGGCTTGGGCTACCTGAGGCCTCAACCCAGCCCAAGTTTTCTTGCCTAGGCCCAACTCCTAGTCTGAAAACTTAGGCCTAACCTGTGCAAACCTGTGTAAAAGCTCAAGTTGGGTTGGGTCAAGCTTGGGTTGAATCCCTTAATCAAGAGGGATTGGAAAATCAACACATCAAACGATGGATCACAAGAGAGCCAGAAAAAAAAAACTATTATTTAGCAATAATTTATTGTTAATTAACTATAATTAGGATTATTTTCAAGTTCAATTAACGTATTAATTAAATGAACTTTATTTGTTAATTTAGGATTATTTTCTGTTAAATTGACATTATTGTTAAATTTCAATAGATTTAATGTAAATGGAAACTAATTGTTCGTTAATGATTGTAAATAATAATTAGCTATCATTAATCATATCACAAAATTAGCAAAATTATATGGGTTAGATTTGGGAGGGTTTGTAGTATAAATCTGACCCGTATATATCGTCTTCTTAACCCGAAAAGGAGATTTGTTGTTATGAATTCTGTGGTCACCGACAAGCCTTCCATAATCCTCTCTCTGATAGAAACCAAATCCAAAAACCCATAACACTTTCTTCTTCATCTCTCTCTAAGTGTGACAACAACGACAACATAGTCAACCTCTCTCCCTTATAGATGGTAACCCCATATTAACAAAGCTATGTATTCCTTAAACTGAGCAAACTGTATTGGAGCATTGCTACTATTCTTCTAAAATGTCTCTATTACTATTGTTCTTCTAGATAGTAAAAGAAGAATAGAGATACATAAAGAAAGAAAGAAAAAAAAAAGGAGACAGTTCATATAAGATCTATCATATAGTAGGGTCCGAAAGAGGCAAATTCATAACTACTTTAAATCTTCTATCCACAAATTCGAAGAAGAAAAACAAAATGGAAGAAAAACAGTTTGGCAATGGTTAATTGGCATCAATTCCAAGCTGGCACCCACCCTAACTGTACTTTGGGCCTAAAAATTCTGGCCTTGGGCTGAATTACCCTTGTATAAGATTTTTACGTGATTGTCTAGTCCCCAAATAGCCGAAGTACCCATATTTTCAGAAGTAATTTCAAGTGGACCCATTCTTCAGTTTTTTATTTATGGATAAATTTTGTTTTGTTACACTAAAAAAATGAATTATGGTAACTTTGAACAATTAAGATAAAATGTGGTAATTTTCAGAAGTTTACATATTTTACACAAATTATGTTAATGTTAAATAATTTACATATATGGTAAATTTAGTAGTAATTAGCACGACTTACATGAATTATTGATAATTTTCAGTTATTTACATAATTAACATAATTTCTGATAGCTTGTAGTAATTTACATAAGTATTTACTGCATAATGTACATACATGGTATTTTTAAGTAGTTTAAGTAATTTATTCATTGTACATATATGGTAACTTTTAGTAAATTACATAAATTATATAATTTTCAGGTATGCACATAAATTAAGAAAAATGGTATATTTCAATGATTTGCATAAATTATGGTAATTTTACGTAATTTACATAATGCATATATAGACTTGGCAATCGGGTTGTGTGGGTCGGGTTCGGGATGGGTCAATTAAAACACTCCTTAGGTTGATTTCGGGTCGGGTTAAATTTCAGATTGGGTAAAAATTGCTAGACCCTAAATACATGGAAAATGCCAAAATTAATGGAATTAACCTTAAAATTCCAAACATGAAATAAAAATCTTGAAATTTCAACAATTCAAAGAATAAACAATAAAGAGTAAAGATTAAGAAAATGAAAACTTCTAACAATACGTCCTAATTAGACCTGACAATTGGGCCAATGCATTGACCCATGACCCAATTCAACCTTTTTTTTATTTTTTTTATTTGGGTTAGATCAGGTCGGATCATTCTCAAATTTAGGTAAGTAGATATGAAGACTCTAACCATATTTTTTCGGGTTGGATTGGAATCATGGGTTGTGTCAAACTTTTTAACTGGCCAATGTACATATATATGGTAATTTTTAGTAATTTTTAAAAATTAATTATTGTGACACTGATTACAATTACTTTTTCAAACTGCCTAGGCCCCAAATACCCGATATACCCCCCTTTCTCAGAAGTAATTTTAAATGGTCTTGCTCTTTTATTTTTATTTATATATAGGTTTCTTTTTATTAAAGTAAATAAAAGTGACTTAATT